TGGCTTCACCTGGCTGGGTCTCTCTAAGCCTTGCTGCTTCTCAGTAACCCAGTGCTTTTTGAGTCTGGAACTTTTACAGTAGAATGCTGCCAGGGAACATTCAGTGGCCATGACCCAGCAGATCAGTGAGCATCCTCGGAGCAAATCATTGTCCCTGGTGCACAGGCAAGATGATGGCTAACCAAATGAGACCAATTTCTGTCTCTCGTGGACTGTGCTCTTCATGGATACTTGTTTACCTCATATGAACTGGGACACCTGTGCTCTCTCTGTTTCACTGAGGCTGTCACTCAGGGTCACTCCGATGGGGACAGCAGAGGACACCATTCTAACACCAACAGTTCAATGGGAAGACGATCAGAATTCACAACATTGAATCAACCATATCCAAATAATATTAAAGCTTAGAGGGCCTGTGGATTGATAAACCTTCCCTGGTGGTGCTGGGAGCTCTTGTCTGAGTTTGCACATGACTAAATGCCTAGCTGGAGGGATTTGCATTAGTAGATCCTGAGTAAAAAATAAAATTCTATTAAAATGACGTTCCCTTTGCTGTTAGCATCACTTTAGTGATGGCCTGGATTCTCAGAGGCATTCCCTGGGGCTGCCTGGCTAGACTTACAGGCGATCCATGTGCCTTGGCAAAGGTCTTTTGGGGTGTAAGTACAGGGAAAAAAGGTGGAAAGACATGATGTCCCTGGGGCATGAGCAACTTCTTCACTCTTGGCTACCCCTGGAAAGTTATGTAGGAAACATCCTGTACATCATTTCCTAGTTTCAATGCCAGAAAGGAGCCAGCTGTTCAAATGCGCCTCTCTGGAGTTGGGTCCTGGCATGATTGTGGAGACAGGGACAGGGGACATTAGTTCCTGCCACTGGCTCTATGTATTGTTCTAGCTGGAGTTACATTTGCTTGACTGCAATGTGATGCATGTCATATCAGACTTTCCAAGTTTGCCCACCCATAATGTCATAGTTTTGCATTGAATAATGGATACTTTGATTGTAGCCTGTTCGCCTGGGAGCGACATGACACAAAAATCTACTTGGACTTACTTCAGTCCGACCTGCCCCACCGTTCCTGAACTCTTATCACTTGGGTCCCATTCACTGTCTGTCATCTTGGATGCCTGACTCTGCACATGGACCTTTCCATACCACCATTCCATCTGGATGCTCCTTTAGCTTTTATTCACAGGCCCACATCAGACAGCCCTGCCTCTGTACCTACCAGGTGCCCTGCTTTCTGACCAAGCACTGACTGCATGATACTCTAAACTGTCTTTTTGACCCATGAGGACATGGACACTTCTAGATAGCAGAGGCTTCTAGTTCTGTACTGACCTGGGGAATGAAGCACAAAGTCTAACTTACAGAATAAGCTATGTAGGACAGAAATCCAAAAGCCCCAGAAGGCATTAGAACCATAAGAGGCTTTGAGAATGTTCATGGTAGACCAGGAGTTCTACATGGCATGTTAGACCAGTTTAAATTCTTTATGGCAAAGGCCAGCTGTAGACTCACTGATGGTTAATCCAACTGGACCCTAGAAATAAGCTAACAAGGTAACAAGATGAACACTGTTTAAGGACTGGGAGAGGAAGAACAAATGGGTCAATGAAATGAATCAAATGTTAATTCATCAGAAGTTTTTAAAGAGATCTCTGGGTTTTTCTTCTCTCTGCCCTCTCTTTCTTCTCCTCCTCCCTGGCCTCATTGTATTTCTCCCTCCATATCCTTTCACTGTTATGCAGACTGTTTTTGGGTACCAATGGGACACTCACACTGTCCACTGTAAAGCTGGGGTGAGTAAGACACCAGCCTACTCCCGGGAGCTCAGCACTAAGCAAGCAGACAGGAGGGATAACTGTGACGGGAATGCAAAAAAGAGCAACAAGGAGTCTGATGAGCGAGGGGACAGATGCCCTCTAATGTATGCCAGGGAGGGTTCTGGGAGAGAAGCTTCATCAGTTCTGTATCTTCTGGGCGACAAGCTGTTTACATGAGAGAAACTTCTGATAAGATTCTAACATCATAGGGAGTTGAGCAAGAAGAAAGGAGGTTCTGCAGGTTGGCCTACACGGGTACTGTTGAGAGTTCCTGTGCCCACCTCAGTACAGGTTCCTTCTTTTGCTTGGTAACCATCCTCATAAGCTGGGGCATCTGGTAGCAAGGATTCCCTCAACTTTCAGAAGATGCATTTCTTTCCAATGGAGATGCTGTAGACTGAATTCTGTCCTCCCTGAACTTGCAGTCTGAAATCTTAAACCTTGGTATATTTGGAGATATGGCCCGAGGCAAGCAATCAAAATGAAATGGGGAGCGAGAGTTGGGACTTCACATAACAGGGCTGGTTGCTTTTGAGAGGAGCAGATATGAGAGTGTCATCTTTTTCTGGAACTGAGGACAAAGCGGGTGATCAAAGTCCTCTGTATCCAGGAAAAAGAGCTCCGTTAGGACATGTATAGATAAGCACTTTGACGTTGCATTTCCCAACTTTCTTGACCACGTGAAAGTAAACTTCTCTCCCTTAAGCCATGCAGCCCAGGGTACTTGGCTAAGGAGGCCTGAGCAAAGTTAGATGCAGATGAAGATGTAGCTTAAGCCAAGTTTGTAGGGTTCCATGATGGTTACAAATGTTTTATAGAATAGGCATAATTCTTATCTATCTACATTTTAAATCAGCATGCTCACCACAGGAATAGCCTGGGAGAAAGGACAGGTGCTAACTATGACTTTCTGTGAGCCCTGGGTAAGTCACTAGGTTCGAGTCTCTTGCCTGGAAGTCCCCATGGAAAGCCTATAGCTAAGCTGGGAATGGCCTCACATAAGCAACCCGCCTGGGACAGAGCAGGCAAAGAAGGAAAGAGAGAGAGAGAGAGAGAGAGAGAGAGAGAGAGAGAGAGAGAGAGAGAG